AATACACACATGTATATGCACACACACACACACACACACACACACACACAAGGATACAAGACTCTTGACTTGCCGTCAAAGATAGTTACTAACTTGCCTGAAATTCTACCGTGCAAGCAAGCCTCCTCCCCTTTATACAAGTCTACATTTCCATCGACTCATTGACACCCACCCTGACCCACGTCTGCGCTGCCTCGTTAAGCTCGCTGCTAGTGACATTGTCATGGCCTGAAGGGAAGCAGAAGCATCGCCTCCTGCCCCGTCGACTGATGTCAGACAGACAGTACCCCTCTCGGAGATACGGTCCATGCAAACCTCTAGAAAATAAACAAGAAGGCTCGCTTTGTCAACATAGTTTGCAAATTCACCAGAATAGAACTATAGTAAATTCTGCAGAGTACTCCCCATTTTAATGTTTTTCGGATGGAGTCCTGCAAGTCCTTTAATCTCAGCTTGGCATTGGGTTAGGTTGTGGAACTGCATTAGCCAGTTTGACACTGCTATAAGAAAATGCCCCAGATTAGTTGATTATTTCAAGAACAACAACAAAAAGAGGTTCACGTATTGTAACGCTAAAGGTTCAAGGGCACGACTTTGCATTGGCTCTAGGGAAGCCCCTCTTAGATGGTCACATCATGGTGAAAGGAAATGGCATATATAGGAGTGAGCTATGACATCATAGACAAGCCAGAGAGAGGCTGGGAGGGTCCAGGCTCAGACTTTTATTATCATTCTTGAGAACTAAGAGCCCTACAGAAAATTCTTCTGATCACATACCTCTAAGTGGGCCTAAAGATTTCCCACAAGACCCTACTCATTAAAGACTCCCCCGTGTTCCTCATTGACACACTGATGGCCAAGCCTCCAAGACATGGATACTTGGGGGTTAAGCCACGCTCAACCTATAGCATCACCTTTCTCATTTCAATAGTCCGCCATGTTTATGCTGCGTGGTCCCACAGGGAACAGTTAGAATTTGTTGGATTGTGAATTTTTGTAGAGCATCGCAAAGTGTCATGCCCTGTGATAGCTTTGGAATCTTGAGATTGCAGAGCAGGGAGCAGACTAAACAGTACTTATGATGGGCCTTTCTCTCCTCTCAGATCACACAGCATCTCCATCCAAGGCCACCTGTGTCCCTTCCAAATGATTTGCCACCAGCATCAATAGCTGACTCCTACTTTGTGTTTTTTAAAAGGTGCCCTTCGATCCTCTGAAAACAGTTGATCAGCAGATATTCCGGAATGCTTGCTTTAGTTCATCCAGCCCCAAAACAAAGCCTTTGCCCTGAGATGGTCACTGTCTTCTCCACCATGAAAACAGTCCCAATTCTCTTGAAGAACATAGCCTTCATTCTTTTCATCTGTCCAAGGCAAAGGCAGCTTTGACTTGACTGAAGGGTTTCCTGCCACCCTGGAAGTCTTGGAAAAAATAGGAAAAGCCACAACTTAGTTCAAAGGCCAATGATCTTATCAAAATGGCTCTATGTGGCAGGAATTGTTTAAGTTTCCAAATTGTATCTTTTTCCTGTCTCATCTCAGAAAAGCACACTGACTTAAAAAGAGACACTTTCCAGATCCAAATGGCTGTCAATGCTAAGCAATTTCTCCTGATTTCCCAAGGAGCTTTGGGTTCACCTTGCAGCTTTACTTTGTGGTCCTGAAGATCTCATATCAGGATCATAACCTTAGTTTTTCTTTAAGTAATTACGAAGACTACAGACTTAGTAGAATCAGCCATTTCAGGAAGAAATTTATCTTTGGTCAATGAGATAACTAATATTGACTCTTGATTTGACAGAAGTGGAATCACTTGTGAGACAAAAGTCCAAGCATGCCTGTGAGGAAGTCTCTGGATTAAGTTTACTGAGGTGGGTACACTCGCCTTCATTTTAGGCAGCCCTGGTCTATGGGCTGGGGTCCTGAAGTAAATACAGAGCAGAAGGCTAGCTGATGGCAGGCATTTTCCACTCTTTGCTTCCATAATGAAGATGCAAGCAAGAGGGCCAGCTGCCTCCTCAAAATCATGCCAGCGTAACTCACTCACCATGACGACAGTATCCTCCAACTATGAGACAAGCCAAATCCTTCCTTCCTAAATTGCTTCTTGCCTGGTATTTTATCATAGCAAAAGTAACTAAGACAGTCTTTTATTATCATTCTTGAGAACTAAAAGCCCTAAGACAGCCAAACGTGTTCCCTAAATCTTTGACCAACTCACTCAACGTAATTCAGAGTGACAAATGAAAAGTCGTATGAAAGCCTATACGAAACAAACAACTTGACTGGGCTTTGATATCTGTCTAAATTTATTAGAACATACATATAGTAAATCTTCAGAGACTCCCCTCCCCCATCTTAGCATCATCAGACTATTGTTTTCCTTAAGACCCTTATGGAACAAGATTGCAATCAACTTTTAGCTTAGGATCAGGTGTGTCAGCTGCAACTCTCTGCATTAGTTAGTTTTTCATTCCTATAACAAAATGCTTGAGACCGGTTAATTGTATTTAAAAAAAAAAAAAAAACATAGGTGGAGAGAAAGGGAAGGTGGGATTGGGAGGGGAGGAGGAAGGGGGCTACAGCTGGGATACAAAGTGAATAAACTATAATTAACATAAAAAATAAAAATTTAATTAAAAAAAGAAAGGAAAGGAAAGGAAAGGAAAACAACTAAACCAAAACAAAGACTGATAATACCAACATCTCAAGACAACCCTACCCAAATTCTTCCTTCTGAAACTCAGAATCCATGTGGTTAAAAGAGACTGGTTGAAATTTTTAAGGAGACAAAGTTTGATCCCGACTGGATGAAGCAAGGGACTCATCTTTTAAGACTTCTCTCTGCTTGCCTCCTCTGGGAAGTCATCCCTGGCCATCACCAACACAGCCTGTTTTGCAAGTGTGTTCCTCTTAGAGTCTTGGCCACAAGAGGCAGAGATCAGTATGACCCCATGAACACAGTACAAAAGACCATGAAGATCTTCTGTTAGCACAAAGCCCGGAGCTCTTTACCTTTGTGGCCTAAACAGCTGAGAGTTGTGGGAACCCATGTGAAAATATGGACCATAGGATCCACCGAATCCACGTTGCAGTCCTCCGGAGTCAGAAACGGCTCAATGGAACTGAGGTGGTGCCTATGGTTTGTAGCCAGGGCTTGTTGCATGGGACATACACTCCCATGAGACAACGGTCCTGGTTGGGGACAGCAGTGGCCTTGCTCTGAGTCCTGCCTACCCCACAGCAAAAAATAACCTGTTCTGTGGCTAAAATGGTTCACTGCAGACATCCCTCCACCCCAGAACACTGTCAATGGGTTAAATCTTACTATAAAAGACAAAATATTTGTCTTACGCGTGAGAGGCTACCTGCATTACTTGTTGCTGTGTGTCAAGTTGCTCCAACATTTAGTTAGGCGCAGCATGTGTTTTATTATCTCACAGTTTCTAAGGGCAAGGAATTCGGCAATGGCTTATCTAGGTGCCTCTGGTCAGGGCTTCTCAGGAAGCCCAAGCTGTCAAGCAGGGCTCCTGTCATGAGCCCAGATCTGTTTCTGAGCTTACTCACATGGCGCTGGCAGGAGGGGTTAGTCCCTGCCACTTGGGCCTCTCCATGGGTTGCTCACGACTTGGCAGCGGCTTCGTGCCTTGTATTCTGCCTGAATCTGTGTAACTGTCAAAATACAGAAGACAGACACAAAGGTGGCTAGTGGGAGGCAGATGTCATAGGAGGCAGCCTTGCAGGCTGGCTAAGGATGCTCTGTCCCAGGTTGAGAGCTAACAAGATACCGTGTTTCCTCTGAATGAAGGAGCTTCACCGAGCATAGGCCTCCTGATACTGACATATTCGGAAGCTGAAAAGCTGCAGGGTGAGACAGCTCAGTTGGTACAGCGTGAACGTGAGGAGCCAACGGCACTCCTTAGAACCCATGTTAAAAAATCCCAGTGCGGTGGCACGTGCTTGTGGTCTCAGCACTGAGGAGTACAGGACAGGCAGGTCCCTTTGATCAAGGCCAGCCTAGCCTGCTTTAAGGCTTCAGGTCACAGAGAGACCTTGTCTCAAAAAAAACACGATGGACAAATGATACCTAAGGAACAAATGATACTAGGAACAAGTGATACCTAAGACTGACCTCTGACCTCCACAGGCACATGTACACATATGCACACACACCCATACACATACATGCACACTTACTCTCTCACACACACTCTCTCTATCAAACACACACACACACACACACACACACACACACACAAAGTCTTCAGAAACGGGCTGTTCTGTGGCCTTTCCCACAGATACAGAGACAGCTCTTTTCTCAACTCTGTGCACAGTAGAGATGAGATCAGCCCCATCAGACACAGAGCCTGTTCTATCATGCAAACCGGTGTGGTTGTTGAGTTCAGGGGTGCCGGATGTTAAATGCACAGCACTCCACCAAGAAACCCACTTTCAGACCCGCTGGGGTTCCCACAGTTGGAAAAGTCTGCTTCTGGCCAACTCCAAATCTCAGGGACAAGAGAACAAAGGCCTGATTGTGACCACCTACAGGAACTACTCCAGTCCCCTCACCTCACATTGGTGACCAACTGGGCTGTCTCTGTACATACTTAAGCCAGGCCTTGCAAAGAGGATGCTCACACATGCACGATGACACACGCATACAAACACATAGACAGCATAAAATAAATGTAACTTGAAAATGGATGCCACCATAGCCTCTATTAGCTTAGCTTGTCATGAGGGTTAAACAAGAATATTCATCAAAAGTAGGTTGTGTGGGGGGCCCAACAGAGGGCTAGCCTTTGATTTAAAATAAAAATACAAAACAAAAAACAAAACTGTTACCATCTTTCTCCATCTTCAATCCCTAAAAAAGAAATAAAAAAGGCACAGTTCACTTTATCCACTGTAATCACATCACCAGCCTCCACCGCAAAGCCATCTCCAATCTAGGACGTGACAAAGAAACAGGTCATTTTATTCTCTGCCAGCTCCCCGATGCCCATGCTAATCAAAGGCATCAACCAAAGAAAAGCCCGCAAGAGCAGTGTTGAAAGGTGAGGTTGGAGCCCGTCTCCGCCACCGTCAGCAGTTAGGTGGGAGAGCACTGTCCCTCTGTGCTGCCCATTCGCAGTGCCGCCCATTCCCACACCCTGTCCGTGTTCCCCCTTCAAAAGGTCAGATGCGTTGGATGCTGCATCTCCTGGGAGAGCCCTGAACCACTGTCAACCCCCTAAGTAATCATTCACCCAACAGTCACTCTCTGAGGACCTGGCAGAACCACTGGACCTCAAGGTCAGGTTCTCAGGACTCCAACGACTCAGTGAGTGAGCTTTGCATGTGTTGCCTCTTGCTGTCCATAGGTAATGTTTGATGTGTTTCCCACAATTAAGGGAGGACGAAGTGTTACTTCCTAGCTGAGAAAACTGTGCAGGTCTCTTTTTCCCAGGGTGCGGCTTCAGAAAACCACCTTTGGAATCAGGAACATTTTTTTTTTAATCAGGTACAGACTGAAGGCAGAGCGGGGGGTTAGGGGTGGCACTTGCTTACTATTTGTGAGGCTCTGGGGTTCCCGTTTCCAGAACCAATAAATAAATAAACCAATAAATAAATAAATTAGCGGCCGTAACTCCAGACCTGTACTCAAACACCCTTAAAACTGTCTGAAATAAATCAAGGCATCAGGGCATTTTAAAGAAGCTGAAAGGTACAAAGGTACAGGATTCACACATCACAGATAATTGATTAAAAACAAAACAAAACAAAACTATTTTCAAACCTTCCTTGAGACTTCATCAAGTTCTTGCTATATTCTGGGCAGTAATAGTAAAGTGGCTTACATAGACTTTCTTACTGAGTCCTCTCATTGAACTGCTTGATATAGTATAATTAATAGCCCCAATTAAAACTGAGAAAAATTATCAAGGCTTAGTTGGGCTTAACAACTCACAAAATCATGTAGTAAATTATTGCTATCTCCTCGTTTCTTAAGGGAGACAGAGAGAGAGAGAGAAAGAAGGGAATGAGGAGGGGAAAAGAAGGAAGGAGAGAAAAGAGGGAAGGTGAAGGGAAACAGAGAAGGAAGAAAGAAGGGAGTGAAGAAGGAAGGGAGGGCGGAGAGAGGCAGGACGGAACGAACAAACAAATGAGAGAGGGAAACAGGGAGGGCATGGGAGGGAATGTGGGGAGGGAAGACAGGGTTTCTCTGGGTAAACTCAAGTTTGGGAATCTCTGAAGAGTAGAGAAAACAGCTTCTTCGTTTCCCTCATCGCTCCTGTGACACAGAGATGGAGAGAGACCCATGAGGTGCCTGCTGCCCAAGCATTCCGCATGCTACTACCCCCTCCGAAAGCACAGACCACTGGACCAACGTCATTCCCCAGTCCTAAAGGCAAATATCTGGTCTGAGTGGTTTTCTGGTGGTTCCTACTGTCCCTTGAGGTCAGAACAATGTTCTGCTAGAATGGAGGAAGGACAGGGCTCTCAACAGAAGCAAAATGGGAGTGCTGAGTAGGGCCTTTGTTCTGTGGCCAAGACCTCCTAGGTTGTGGCCTGAGCCGGAGCCACAGCTCCTTCCCAGCAAGCAGAGCCCCAGGATCCTGGTTAACAGTCCCGTTTCTGCTGCAGGTTGCTGTTTCCCGAACCCTTGTGTAGGTTCCTAGCTCTCAGCCATCACCTACCTCCTCCCCACACAACCCCTTAAAGCCTTTGCCATGATCTGAACTATGTGAAGTTTTGTTTGCTTTCTATGGCTTCCCTCACAATTATGCCATTAGATTGTTTTCCAAGCACCACAATAATAACACCTTCCGGGCCTCTGGTAAATATTCGTTGAAACAGATTTTCCTTACCTCGATTGAGCCACTCTCCAAGTCTCCTAAGTTCAGTCTAACCTTTCACCTCTACTATCTCACTTCATGAGTTCCATCATCTGGGCCATTCTCCATGCTGTTTCTCCAAGGTTCCTCTTTTTTATTATTATTAAAAATATATTTTTAAATGTTTTTTTTTTCTCACACAACATATTCTGATCCAAGGTTCTCCCTGATATCAAATAGATTGCATCATGTTCATGCTCAAGATCTCTTTCACTGGCAAAATCCAGGTTCTGTATTGTGACTCTTGAAGACGTTCTGTTCAGCTTCCAGGCTTCAGCATCCTGTCCATTCTCACATGTGTGTTCATTGCCTTCTCTGCCTGTTCTCTTTCTCAAAGATTGCCGTCTGGCTTAAAGTTTCCTAAACACATTCAGCCTTTCCCTCTGCTCATCTTCTCCTAAGCATCTCTGCCAACAGGGAAAAGGATGAGAGAAAAGGATGCAATCTTTTCCCTGTTGTAGAAGATGCAGGGCTGTTTCCACTCTTCCTTCATAAAGCCTAGTCACATGATACTCAACTGCTAATGTATATGTCTGGTTTCCCAGCTACATGGAGTGTTCCCTGCAGGGAGAGATCATGTTTTATGTATCTGTATATCCCCTGAACCTACTTCATGGTGAGAATTCAGTAAGTATTTATTAATGATATAGGCAGAGATAGGATAAAACCCTCTTCTTGTTTCAGACTCCCTGTGGCTGCCAGAAGCAAGCAACAGTCTTCCCTCCTGCTCAGACAACAGGAGCACAGGCGGCTTCCAGGACTGTTGTTGTCCTTGTACCACATACACACCTTGGCACTCAAATTAAAAGGACTGTGTCTGAAATGCAACACGCCAGCACCACGCCCCCATCCTTGGTTCTTCTAGACAGGGTTTCTCTGTGTAGCCCTGGCTGCACCAGAACTTGCTTTCTAGACCAGGCTGACCTCGAACTCAGAAATCTGCTGGCATCGTGAGTGCTGGATTAAAGGTGTGCACCACCACGCCTAGATTTCTGTGTTTCTCTTGAAGAAAGCCCTTCTCCAGCCCTTAAAGAGAAGTTTCTGTCTCCCAGTAGGGTCCTGTCAAGTCTCAGTCTCTACATAATATTGCATGCTTTCTGCCTACCGCTCTCCCACCCACATCAAGGATGAGGCTCTCTCGTTCTGATAAACCACATTCTGAGAGGGAACTATGAATTATGGATCAGCTTCCTTTCTGGACTGACCCCTGCTGCTTCTTTTATTATATTTATCAGATCTTGTTCATTTATTTTAATAATTACAGTGCATCAAATTGTGCCCTTTCCCAAGGGACATGTGGATGTCTCCAGACTTATGAATGTGACCGTATTTGGGGGAAAAAAAATCAGATGTTGTTAGTTTCAGGGGGAATTATATTCTATCTAACATCCTCTTTTCTTCAGTATTATAATTTTTTTTCTTAATTCTATTGTCTTCTTGTCCCAGTTTAGATAGACTCTAGTATGGTTTTCTTAAAAGATTTTGCTTAGAGTAAAAGACTCTTGAATATGTATATTGATGTCACCTGTCAAAGGCAGGAAATCATCAATTAGAATCTCTTTAACTATTCTCTTCCTCGCCTCATTCCTCCTCTTTCTGGCACTTTAATTATACATGTTAGTTTCAGAAATTTTCATGTTTCTTATGCTTTTTTGATGTGTTATCCATTCTTCATTTTAATATCCGTGCTTCAATTTATTCCCCATCCTTTAATGAGCATTTTATAAAGTGTCTTCATATAACTCTCTGTAACAACAACAACAACAACAAAATAAGGACAATTTGCTAATCATTTCTTTTTCTGGTCCTAATTTCCCATTAAAGCCACCTACTGCATTTTTAATTTTTTTATGTTTTAAATCAATAATTTCGACTTGACTCATTTTGTACATAAATGAGATAATTTCAAATTCCCTACTGAAATTCTCCAGATTGCAATCTATTTTAAACATATTTAACATACTGATTTTATCATCTGTACCTCACTACCGTCTGGTTTTCTTTTTAATATCAGGTCAGTTGGCCCTGTTTCTGGGCATGTCTGGTAGTTTTTACTTGGCTGTCAGGAACTGCACATAAAAAAATTAAAAAAAAAAAAAAAAAAAAAACAGTCTCGGGCTGGAGATGCAGCTCAGTTGTGGAAAATTTACCTTAATTGTTATATGTGAGCACACACGCACACACACACCAGAAGGAGATTTTATTTTCCTCCAAAGATGATTAAGAAAATGTGGTTTACTTAAGTCACCTCCACCAGAAACAAAGGTCACACAACTATCTTCAGGCTTTGTGAGAGAAGGTGAGGATCTGGTTCCCCTGGATCCTGGTAGGGGATTGACCTGAAAGAACAGGGACCTTATGATACCCTCCATAGGATGTTTAACAGATCTTCCCTGGGATGCCCACCAAAGCCTACCCATAGTACTACTTATCAGACCCTCCCTAGGAAGCTTATCAAGCCTTCAGACTCCCCAGGCCAGTGTTTAATTGTCCCGCTACCTCCATGTAGCTTCTCATCCTCTGCTACCCTCTTCTGCTTAGTATTTGGATTGAAGAGGGTACAGAAAGACTATAAGAGCCAGAAGTGGTGGATGACTGACTACAAGGGAGCAGTGTTTTCTGGGAAATAGCAGGACAGCTGTACAAACGAACTCACAGCCGTTGAAACAGCATGCCCCAGACCCGGGCCAGCTCAGGCCAAACAGAATTCTAGCATGGAGTAAGGATGCAGGCATGAAGTTCCTCCCCTGCCTAAGGACCCATTGGAAGCTGGTAGCCTCTGGGAGAAGTAGAGTCATTTTTCTTTGACAGTGTGAACCCCTGAGACAGATAGAGCAGTCTCCCTAACCCCTGAGAAGGCCGCATACCGGAGAGTCTATTAGCAACACAAACTGTACTTAGTTTTTTCTTTTTTTATTTAAAGGCAAAAATTTTAGTGACTGCGAAGGAAGAATGGTCTTTGAAGGGTAAGAGGGACAGGGGTGAATGTGATCAAAAAGCATTGTACAAAATTCTCAAAGAACTAATAAAAGAATGAGGAAAAATAGAACTGGGTTTTAGGACATGGAGGTCAGGAGTCAGCAACTACTTCAAAGGGAAACTACACCGAGAACATGAGGCTCACTTTCCTGCAGTTTACTTTCCCTGGGACACCAGGCGTCTGCAGTCCCGGTTCCCTT